AGATGGTATCTCATTGTGGTTTTGATTTGCATTACTCTAATGGCCAGTGGGAAACCCTGGTGGTGTGGTGGTTAAGAGCTATGGCTGCTAAACAAAAGGCCAGCAGTTCAAATCCACCAGGTGCTCCTTGGAAACTCTATGGGGCAGTTGTACTCTGTCCTATAGGGTCGCTATGTGTCGGAATCCAATCGATGGCAACGGGTTTGGTTTTGTTCTTTTTTTAATGACTAGCGATTGTGAGCATTTCCTCATGTGTCTGTTGGCCGCTTGAATGTCTTCTTTGGTGAAGTGTCTGTTCATTTTCTTTGCCCATTTTTTAATTGGATTATTTGTCTTCTTTTTGTAGAGGTGTTGGATTTTCCTGTAGATTTTAGAGATTAGAACTTTGTCATATTTGTAATAGCCAAAAATGTTTTCCCAGTCAGTAGGTACTCTTTTTACTCTTTTGGTGAAGTCTTTTGATGAACATAGTGTTTAATTTTTAGAAGATCCCAGTTACTAGCTTATCTTCTGGAGTTTGTGTGTTGTTAGCTATGGTTTGAATCCTGTTAATGTTGTGTATTAGGGCCTCTAGCATTCATCCTATTTTTTCTTCTATGATCTTTATAGTTTTTGGCTTTATATTTAGCTCTTTGATCTAATTTGAATTAGTTTTTGTATATGGTGTGAGATATGGGTCCTGTTTCATTTTTTGCAGATGGACATCCAGTTTTGCCAGCACCATGTGTTAAAAAGACTGTCTTTTCCCCATTTGAACTTTGGGCCCTTGTCGAAGATCAGGTGACTATAGGTGGATGGATTTACATCTGGGTTCTCAATTCTGTTCCATTGGTCAATGTATCTGTTATTGTACCAGTACCAGGCTGTTTTGACTACAGTAGCTGTATAGTAGGTTCTGAGGTCAGGTAGTGCGAGTCCTCCTACTTTATTATTCAGTAGTGCTTTACTTATTCAGAGCTTCTTCCCTTTCCAAATAAAGTTAATGATTAGTTTTTCCATCTCTTTAAAGAATGTCGTTGGTATTTGGATAGGGATTGCATTGTATTTGTAAATTACTTTGGGTAGACTTGTCATTGTCACAATGTTGAGCCTACCTATCCATGATCATGGTATGTTTTTCTATTTATGTAGATCTCTTTTGTTTTCTTGCAGTAGTGTTTCGTAGTTTTCTTTGTATAGGTCTTTTACATCCCTGGTTAGATTTATTCCTAGGTTTTTTATTTTTTTAGAGGCTATTATAAATGGTATTGTTTTCCTGATTTCCTTTTCATCTTTCTGTTTACTGGTGTATAGGAATCCAACTGATTTTTGTATGTTTATCTTGTATCGTGCTACTCTGCTGAATATTTCTGTTAGTTCTAGTGGTTTTCTCATGGAGTCTTTTGGGTTTTCTATGTATAGTATCATATCATCCGCAGATAGGAACAGTTTTACTTCTTCATTACCAATTTGGATGCCCTTTATTTCTTTTTCTTGCTTTATTGCTCTAGCTACGACTTCCAGCACAATGTTAAATAGGAGTGGTGATAAAGGACATCCTTGTCTTGTTCCTGTTCTCAAGGGAAATATTTTCAGCCTTTCTCCATATAGATGTCCTTCATTATGTTGAGAAATTTCCCTTCTATATCTATTTTATTGAGAGTTTTTATCAGGAATAGGTGTTGGACTTTGTTGAATGCCTTTTCTTCATTGATTGAGATGATCATGTGATTCTTTTCTTCCCATTTTTTTATGTGGTGGATTATGTTGATTGATTTTCTAATGTTGAACCATCCTTGCATACCTGGTATTAATCCTACTTGGTTGTGGTGTATTATTTTTTTGATACAATGCTGAATTCTGTTGGCTAGAATTTTGTTGAGAATTTTTACATCTATATTCATGAGAGATGTTGGTCTGTAATTTTCTTTTTTTGCAGTGTCTTTGCCTGGTTTTGGTATCAGGGTTACGCTAGCTTCATCAAATGAATTCAGAAATATCCTTTCCTTTTCTATGTTCTGAAATAGTTTGAGTAGTACTGGTGTAAGCTCTTCTCTGAATGTTTGGCAGAATTCTCCAGTGAAGCCATCTGGGCCAGGGCATTTTTTTTGTTTGGAGTTTTTTTTTTTTTTTTCAATACCTTTTCAATCTCTTCTCTTTTTATGGGTCTGTTCAGATTTTCAACATCATTTTGTTTTAGTTTAGGTAGGTAGTGTGTTTCTAGAAATTTGTCCATTTCCTCTAGGTTATCAAATTTGTTGGAGTATAGGTTTTCATAATACTCTGTTATGATCTAAAGGCCTGACATTCTGTGGACAAAAATGAGTTCCGGGGGGGGGTGGTGCCTGAGCCCAGGGCCTAGTGATCAGTAGTTTAATCTGATTATTTGCTTCTGATTCAGCCCTTCCTCCTGTTCAGAATTCTGTGTAATGGTTAGGATTATTTCAAAATTTGGAGTCAAGGAATAGAGACCAACATTGCCATTGAATCAATTCTGACTCATAGCGACCCCATGTGTTAGAGAGTAGAACTGCTCCATATAATCTTTACAAATATAGATTGCCAGGCCTTTCTTCTGCAGCACTTCTGGGTGGGCTCAAAAAGCCAACCTTTAGGTTAGTTGCTATTGTTAAATGCAGTCGAGTCGGTTTTGACTCATAGCAACCCCATGTGACAGAATAGAACTTCCCCATAGGGTTTACTAGGCTATAATCTTTACAGGAGCAGATTGCCAGGTCTTTCTCCCATGGAGCAGCCGGGTGGGTTCAAACCATCAACCTTTCAGTTAGCAGCACAGCACTTAACCTTTTTGGCACCAGGGCTCCTTTTTAAGTTAGTAGTCCAGTTCAAGAAGCCCTTGTGGTACAGTGGTTAAACGCTTGGCTGCTAACCCAAAGGCTGGTAGTTCGAACCCACCAGCCGCTCTGCAGGAGAAAGAAGTGGCAGTCAGGTTCCATAAAGATTTCAGCCTTAGAAACCTATGGGGCAATCCTAGAGGGTCACTATGAGTTGACAACAGGTTTGGTTTTTTTGAGTGAGTCCAACACAAACCATTTGCACCACTCAAGGACCTGAGAGACCAGTGGAGCCACCCGAAAATGAAAATGGGGTTTGTTTTGAGGATGTGAGATGCTTCACCAAGCCATGTGCAGAAATCCCACCAGGCCTCACATGTGTCTAAACTGGGCACTAGAAGGCTGTCAGGAAGCTGCACGCACTCTTTTTCCATCTCTTGCCATCACTTCCGTCTCTGCTTGGCTGCTCTTTCTCAGCAACCAGCTATCCTACTCTTTCTATCACCCAGACCATGGGGCAGGTGGGAAACAGCAGCCCTGCCTCCAAGTTCACCTGTTTCAGTTCCAGGAACTCTATGGGTCTCTGTCTTTCTCAGTCCCAATCCCAAATTCAGAGTAGAGATTGTGTTTACCCATTGTGGTCCAATCGGATACGGCCAGGGGGCAGGGCCATGTGTATAAATTTAGCAACAATTTAGTTGTGGGCAGCTGGAAGGTGTTGGGGAAAATTTACTAAAAATAAAACCTACTCCCAGCCCAGAAAACCTCTCCACAAAAATAGAAGAGAAAGAAAAGTTGTATTATGGAATAAGCACTAAACCAATATGTGATGTACCACAGGCAATCTGCTAAAGAAATTGCAAGGACAAAAAAAATCTGACCCTTTATATAACTCCCTGGATACAACTCATTACATTCATGTTTCTGGGTAAAACTGCTTGTTTTTTTAAATACCTTTATGGCAGGATACCTGAAGGTATGCTAATCTCCTTCCAGGAAACTGGGAGGTAGGGGTGTGGTCTTCCTTGATGATCATATTTGAAAAGGGATGGCTCCCAGTTTCTTGAGGAAACATCACTGATGTCATACTTTTAAAGAGACAGAGAAAGAATTTACAATGACAAGCTGTCTAAAGTGAATTCTGAAAGAACAGGGGAGGAGAGGAGCTTCTTCCTTTAATTTCAGCCGGGAGAAAGAAAACTTTTGATTTTCTATTTGTAGTTGTCCTTACAGAGAGGGTGTCCCTGGGTGGCAGAAGCAGTTTGCAATCGGCTGCTGACCTAAAAGGTTGTTAGTTCTAACCCGCCTAGTGGCACCGTGGAAGAAAGGCTTGGCAATCAGCTTCTGTAAAGATTACAGCCAAAAAAAACCCTATGGAGCAGTTCTGCTCTGTAACACATGGGGTTGCCATGAGTCAGAACTGACTTGAAGGCAGTGGGTTTGGTTTGGTTTTTCAGAGGAGAGATGGTTCTTGAGAGCTTGGCTGACATCCCCCAAAGATCTCCATTTTGGTCTGGATTATCATGAGCAAGGGAATCCACCTCATACATGCATGACCACGAGTCCAATTAGATCGTCCCTAAAGCAGGACTCAGTATGGCATTCCAGAAATCTATCCCATCTTGTTCGGGGATGCTTCTTTCCAAACAGGAAAGACTAAATTGGGATCTTGAGAGGGTGACGATGAAAGGAAAACAGCATATATTATATCCCCAAAGACCGTGTGCCTCTAAAGGGTCCTTTAGCGCTGGGTTCTACAACCCTGTTTTAGATTGAGTAAGAATCAACCAGGAAGCTTGTTAAAAGTGTAGTTGCCCTCCCTCACCCCCAGGGATTCTGGTGCAATAGTAGAACTGGGATCGGAGTCCCTTGGTGGCCATAAGGTTAAGCACTGGACTACTAACCAAAAGGTTAGTGGTTTGAACTCGCCCAGAGGTGCCTCAGAAGTAAGCTGTGGCAGTCTGCTTCCAAAAGGTTAAAGCCTTGAAAACCCTATGGACCAGTTCTACTCTGCACACATAGGGTCACAATCGACTCAATGGCAATGTGTAAAATGAGTCCTTAGAGCAAATATCCTGTTGCCCAGGTGTCTGCCTGCACTGGGGGCTGGGAAGTGTATTCCAGTGTCAAGCGTGTCAGAGCACAGGCTGGAATGTCCTGAATTCTCTATGTCCTTATGACATTCTTTAACTTTTCTTTAACTTTATCCTCTTCCTTAACTTTTAGAATGGAAAGAGATGCTGCATTTACACAAAAAAAGGCAGAGAGGGCATGCCTCAGAGTTCATCTCCGAGAAAAATACAGACTTCCAAAGGTAACACACTCATTTTTTTTTAAATTGTACTTTAGATGAAGGTTTACACAACAAATAGTTTCTCATTAAACTGTTAGTACACATATTGTTTTATGACAATGGTTAACAACCCCATGACATGTCAACACTGTCCTTCTTGACCTTGGGTTCCCTATTACCAGCTTTCCTGTCCCCGCCTGCCTTCTAGTCCTGCCTCTGGGCTGGTGCGCCCCTTCAGTCTCATTTTGTTTCATGGGGCTGTCTAAACTTTGGCTAAAGGGTGAACCTCGGGAATGACTTCATTACTGAACTAAAAGGGTGCCTGGGGGCCATGCTCTCGGGGTTTCTCCAGTCTGTCAGCCCAGTAAGTCTGGTCTTTTTTGTGAGTTAGAATTTTGTTCTACGTTTTTCTCAAGTTCTGTCCGGGACCCTCTGTTGTGATCCCTGTCAGAGCAGTCAGTGGTGGTAGCCGGACACCATCTAGTTGTACTGGACTCAGTCTGCTGGAGGCCATGGTAGCTGTGGTCCATTAGTCCTTTGGACTAATCTTTCCCTTGTATCTTGTTTTCTTCATTCTCCCTTGCTCCTGAAGGGGTGAGACCAGTGGAGTATCTTAGATGGCCACTCACAGGCTTTTAAGATGAAAAAGCTACTCACCAAAGTAGAATGTAGAGCATTTTCTTTATAAACTGTTTTATGCCAATTGAGCTACATGTTCCCCGAGACCATGGTCCCCACGGCCCTCCGCCCAGCAATTCGGTCCCTCAGGGAGTTTGGATGTGTTTATGGAGCTTCCATGACCTTTCCTTGTACAAGCTGTGCTGGCTTCCCCAGTATTGTGTACTGCAAAGGTAAGACACTCTTAACACAAAGAACATATCATCATGTCTTAATTAATAAAAATGGAGGAGAATATTTGACCATCAACAAAGGGTCACTTTCATGAATGTGTATATAAGAATACACACACACACATTTTTGTCTTAATTGAGGGCTTTGATATGTGAAAAAAGTATTGAACTAGGAGTTCATACAAACTGGATTCCAGCCTTTAACCTCTATGAACTTCCATTTCCTCTCAACAAAATGGAGTTAATACCTATAGATGACATAGGTGTGCTTTAACAAACAGAAAGTTTAGGAGGCTAGACGTCTGAATTCAGTGCACCGGCTCTAGGGGAAGGCTTTCTCTCTGTCAGCTCTAGGGGAAGGTCCTTGTCTCTTTTCGGCTTCTGTTTCTTGGTTCCTTGGAGATCTCACATGGCATAGCATCTATCTTTCCTCATCTGTGCTTTTTTTTTTTTTTTCTGCTTGGTTAATCTGCTGTTTTATATCTCAAAATAAATTGACTTAAGATGCATTCTACACAAATACTGCCTCATTAACATAAAAAAGAAAACCCTATTCCAAATGGAATTATAACCACAGGGATAGTAAGATTTACAACACATATTTTTAGGGGGACCCAATTCAATCCATAACATCTGCTAAAGGTCACACAGCCAGGAAGTGGCAGTCTGAGGTCTTGCCGTCAGTAACATTCTGTCTCTCTTTAAAGGGAACATTCGGTGCCTTGTTTTTGGAGATGATGTAGTATTCGTGGGCACTACCTAGCTCAGCTCTGGCTGAGTGGATGAACATCTGGAGTCTCTAGTTGAGTCCGCAGTTGGGTTAGTGGTGGGAAGAGGCTGTGCTTACCTGTTATGGCACATGACTCGGGATGCCCTGGTCCAGGGCTTGTGTCCAGTGGTGACAGAGGGCCCGGCACCTTGCTCCTCTGGCTCACCTCCTCTGTCCCCATTTCCCCCACCTGGAACTACCTTCTGATTAGGTGCTTAACTTCATATTCTAAAAGCACACCCTCCCTTTGAGTACAGTGCCTGACAAATAGTAAGCTGTCAGTAGACATTACTGTCATTACTATTTCGATGTTGTTGTTAGGTGCCATGGCAAGTTGATTCCAACTCATAGCAACCCCATGTGACAGAGTAGAACTGCCCCATAGAATTTCCTTGGCTGTAATCTTTATGGAAGCAGATCGACAGGTCTCTATTCTGCAGAGCTGCTGAGTGGGTTCAAACCTTTAGCAGCTGAGAATTTAACTGTTTGCAGCCCCAGTTCTTGTTGTTGTTGTGTGCTGTTGAGTAGATTCCAACTCATAGTGACCCTACAAAGTGCCTACAAAAAGTCTTACGTTTCGATAATAATAAGCGGGGTATTGAAGGTAGTCATGCCTTGGGTAAGTGCACTAGTGTGCATAAAAAATACAATAACTCGAGGTCCCTGAACCTCAAGAATCCGAGCTTTTGATTGTTTTCTTTACAGCGGTGAGTCTATAGCCTCACTCATTTCCAGATCCTTGTTGGTGACACGTTTAGGCTTAGCAGCAAGACTTCAATGCTCTGCAAAGAAAAACAATTCCCTGATCTCTGAGCCCAGACATCCTCTGGGACACAAGTTTTTCCAATAGAAACTAACGAACAAGGAAAGAATTATAGGCATAAGAATGTGCCCATTCAGATCCTCTCTGGAGAGGAACAGACCCTGGAGAGTGACAGTGACTATATCTACATAGGCTACTGCTCCCTAAGCCAGCGAGGGAAGCGGGAGCAGGAAGGGAGTGAATAAATTGTTAGCAGTGGAGTGCGGTATCTTGCATTGCATGGTTTACTGACGCTCATAAAATATAAGTTCTAAATACACTTTTTTCTAAAGCTGTTTCAAATGCATAGTCCATTTGCCACCACATCTGATTTTTACATGGACCCTGAAAGGAACCCTTGAGTCCATCTAATAATTTAGTACCACTGCCTCATTTTACACAAGTAGAAACTGCAGCCCAGAGGGTTAAGGAGCTTTGCAAAGGCCCACGGCTATTGAGTGACAGAACCAGGATAAGAATTTAGGCCTCCCAACCAACTTACAAAAGGATTTGAACACAGCTCCTTCTGGCCCGAAAGCCTCTGCTCTTTCATCCCTTAATATCTGAGATGTCCCAGAGTCTCAGCATAGGTTTATGCTTCACGTAGCTTAAAACTGCACTGAGACTTTGGGGACAACCTGCACTGTCTTACTCTTTCTGTGAAATGTCACTGAGTCCCACGACCAGCAGCCCAGGCACATGGTCCTTCTGTTTCTGTGTTGCCTGGTGACTAAATTCTAGATGCAATTCAAATACATGGATGAGAATGTCACTTGAAAGAACTCTACACTTCGTGGTTCATTGCAGAGATTACTTTCAGATGGGGCCTCCCTGTTGTTGTGCTGTCCCGTCGATTCAGACTCATTAACAACCCCTTGTGACAGAGTAGAACTGCCCCCATAGGGTTTCCTAGGCTGTAATCTTCACAAGAGCCGATGGCCAGGTCTTTTCTCCTGCAGAGGGTCTGGTGGGTTCAAACCGCTGACTTTTCAGTTAGCAGCCAAGTGCTTAACCACTGCGCCACCAGCGTTCCTTGGGATGTTTTTGTAGTATGGTGACATCTTTGTAAAAATGTATTCTATATACAACATTTCAAGAATTTGCCTATTGTGTGAGAAATACTAATAATGCAATTGCCTGCTTTTTGTAACGCACAATGAAATTCCTATTCACAGTACACTATCCATAAAGACAGTAATTAATAGAAATCATACAATAGAAAAACCCACTGGGTCATAGTACACTTTGTCCAAATGTGTCTAATTTCCCAAACTCAACGCAGCACCTTGCGCTTGAAGTTGAGCCCCATCCTTGGAAACCCCTTGCCTCTCCCGTGGCTATCACATGTTACCAGAGTCGTGGAGATCCCCCACCCCTCTTCCTTGTACCCCCCACATCCATCTTCACCACCCGCTTTCACAGACAAACAAGGCTCTGGGTGCAACGGGCCTTCAATAGCCTCTGGGGCCGGAAAAGAGGCCCTGGGAGACAGACACATTCCCCGGGTTACGATCAGATCAGCAGCAGGGGCAGAAGCTTCATTTGCGCAAAACGGCAGCGGCAGCGCCTTTTCCCGCCGGGTCTCGGGGCTGCAGCGGGGACAGCGCCCAGAGGCTCCCTGGCGCCCCCTGGTGTTCCCAGAGCAGCAGCTGTGGCATCAGCAGGAAAACGCACCCACGTGCCGAAGCAGAAAGCACTCCTTGGTGACTATGGGTTGTAGCAAGGACAGGGGCAGGGGCAGAAATGTCTGGAGATGACCTTTTTTTAATTAAACGTTCATTTTTAAAATGTTGTTAGTCGCCCTCAAATCTACTCCGACTCGTGGACACTCCATGTGTGCAGAGTAGAATCGCTCCATAGGGCTTTCAAGGCTGTGACATTTTGGGAGCAAGTCGCCAGGCCTTTCTTCCAAGGTGCCTCTGGGTAGGTTCAAACCACCAACCTTTTGGCTAGTAGTTGAGAGCTTAACCGTTAGCCATTAGCATCACCCAGGGACTCCTTTTTTTTATATTAAGGACCAGATTGTGTTATTCTAAAGTGGCCACTGTGCTAGCAAGCCTGGAAGGGCAGGGTCTGCCCTCCTAGAAGCAGCTTTCAACGCAAAGCAGGAGGCAATAGCCCCCTTGAATGAGCAGGTGGGGATAGGCTGGCGAACAAGCTTCTGCAGAGTGGGATCCCCTCACAAAGCACCAGAAGAGTATGCTTGGAAACAGGTCTCAGATGTCTCCGAAGTAACCAGGACCGTGAGAGATTTAGAAATGACTGTAATTGAGGAAGAATTGATGGAATTGGATATATTGGGCCTTGAGAGGAGATGAAGCAGGGACACGAAGAATATGAGGGGGTCATTCTGTCCCAGATAGTGCATACTGGGCTTATATTCTAATTCTGCATCTGGCTGACTTACCTGGAGTGGCTGATTGTGAACTGGAGCTCTGAAAGCTTTGTCTGATTATACAGAGGAACCCTGTATAACGGTACCTTCAGGATGCCATCAGAAAACTACAATGGGGATCAAAGTTGTAGGTTTTCATCTCCTAGATGCTCCAGTAAGGAGCAAGGAGGCCCTAGAATGCCCGGGGGATGTGATGGCGAAAGC